AGTCGGTAACCTCACATGAAGCGCCGATTTTTTTTTCTTCTTCTCGGCTCCGGTGGTGAGCCGGTGTGTGTGCCAGTCCGCGCCAGTCCGCGCCCTTGTCGTGCCAGTGTGCTGTGAGAGAGGCTTAGTTTAAGAATTCTTCTTCTTCTTTCCAACGCGGGCGGTTCCGCTCCAAGAGACCTCGAGAGTGCGTGCGTGTGCCTCTACTCGTCGCCCTGAATGGTTGCCCAGGTTGTGGAGGACACGATCCCGGCGTGAACACGACTAACTGACGGATCCGCTCCTGACAGTCGCACGCGCCGCGCTGCGGCGCGTGCGACTGTCTTTGTTTGAAGTAAAAAGTCGAATCAGAGCGGCGTCGGCGTTGTCCTCCATTTTCCTCCCCTGGGCCCCCGTCCGGCACCGCTCCGGGACGCACGCCGGCGAAGCACCATCAAGCTGCTGTACGGCCGCGGTATCGCCTCCCCTGGCTTAGCTAGAGTGAGAGATATTGTGCACATGGTCAGTCTCTACAATATACTCACTGACACTCCACCTCCCAGAGCTCGTCCCGGTCCGCCACGGCCATCCTTGGCCTCCGGAGGGCCCCCGGCCGCGGCGCGGTGCGGCGGCGTCACAAATCCGACCACAAAGCACCGGGACGCGGTCGGGCGATCTGAGGTCCAACTAGGCGTATGCATTGCCCATCCAGGGCTATCACCTGGACCCATCAACAGGCGCCTGCGGCGCCGTGGTCACGAGGTGTTGTTCACACCTGGGCAAGCATTCATGCAGCACAGTACTCGCCGGGGGCGGCTCCGTCCAGGCCTTGTTTGAAGCGTCTCAAGTTGTAGCTCCTCATTCTGCTCCTCCTCCTCTCTCCCTTCAGTCAAGCTCCTGCTACAAGCTCAGGAATCGTCTCGCTTCATCGCCACGGATGGTACCACCCGCCTGCCCAGCTCTCCCTCGCTCGAGCATTTTGCGCGGCAGTCTCTCATCGCGAGTTCGCTCAGACAGGCTGACTTATCTGCCAGGTGGTGATTGGTACTCCAAGCGGATTGTGGGGCCAATTTTCCAGCCTCTTCTACCTCTTGGCCGGCCTCTACTCGGACCTCCTACTCGTCCGCTTCTACCTCTCCCTCGGGTGCACTCGCCTGCGAGTAAGTAGCCTTTCGGTCACCACCAGACGCCAGACTCGATCATTTTCTCGAGGAGCGGCGGGGGTCCCGCCGCTCCGCGCGTCAAATTTCTACCCTCAGCAGTCTCGATTTTTGCCAGGTACGTCCTCCTCATCGTGAACGGGCTGCTCGGCTTCCCGCTCTGGGGCGACTACGTCTCTGACCCGCAGTTCATCGCCATCGACACCGTCATCTGGAGTGTCGTCGGGCTGTACGTGCACTTCTCCTCCTTCCTGCAGCTGCTGTACGACGAGCGGTCTGTGCCGCTCGC